CCGGCCCAGCCCTAAACCACGACATCCATTTGCAAAACAACTTATACAGGAAAATTACATCACAAGTCCTTAAATAAAAGTTAGTTTACTAGCGCGTATTTCTTACCTTTCTCTTCAGAAAGAATCAAACATATGGAATACTGTGATAGTAAAGCTTTCACTCAATTTAACACAAGGGAAGAAAATCTGTATTTCAAATGCATCATTCAGACTTTACCCAAATGTTTACAGATCAACACAATATTTAAAAGTGTTCTAGTATTTAGTCTGTATCCCAGTATCTATAGCGATACCAGTAATACACCATGGCCACTGACCAATGGAATTACCAGTCTGACTTAGGGTCTTCTGAAATCTTTCCAGACAGCTGACAACATGGCAAACAGTTGCCCAGCAGGTTTACAGATGAACTGATGGCAAACTGGGAAAATGTCTCTTTAGGATCACAATTCAGAATGCTTCTGTTTAACATTTCCTTAGCCAAAGAATGATAAAAGATCACATAGTGTAAGAGACGCATGCAAACAAGAAATTGACATGGAAGATGTTTCATGCTATTCACAAGTTACATGAAGCTAGCATTTTAAGTCTTTTACACTACTGATAAACCCTAGCAATTGCAAATATTGCAGTTTTCATCTTTTAAAATAAAAGCTGACAGTCTGGAGCCTTCTCTTCTCTGGTTAACTTGCTTTACTGCAAACCCATTAGTCTTACTAAGAATGCTTACGTTTTATTAGACCAAAGTTCACTAATTGCATCTCCAAATGAAGATTTTAAATTATTTTTCTAAAGACATTCCAAAGAACAAAACTTAGAAACTTGGTATACTCAGCATACCAAAATATCAACCTATCTACCTAATCCATCACAGCTAGAAAGTCATACTTAATGAACAAAATAAACCACCAAAGTATAAATCACCAAGCACAAAGGAGATGTTAAGTCTACACGATCTTTGCAATCAAATAAGTTTTGGACCTTTGGTAAGTTGTGTTCTTTGTGGAGAATAAGTAATAGGCAAGTATAGTTTACATTCTCCATTTTCATGTGCCAAACCCTACCACAAAACACACTCCTAACCTTGACAGTTCATGCGATATCGATTTTGTCATGTGTGTCATTTTACTCACGTAAGCAAAATTTTACGAGTCATAATTGCAGGAAGTGTTAGAGCCAGAAAACAAATGCTTTACACAATGTAGATTCAAGTTCAGATGGTACCAGACTCTAATGATTTGGAATTCAAGATATTACACAGCTCATCGAATATTCTCCACTAGTAGACTGATGAAATAAATCAAGCCAATGATAATAGTCACGCATAAGCAGAGACATTATTTATTAAAATTCATATAATAAAATGTCCACAGGCAATGCAAAACCTGTAATAATGATGCGTGTAGAGATTTATGAATTTTTCTGTATTTTCTGAAGAAGAAACTCCACTTGTAAGTTTAGATTTGGCTGTCCTCTTTTTGTCTTCTTACTCAATATTTTATAAGCTTCCATTTTCTTTTGTTTGTACAACTGTTGAGCCGCTTCTCTTTCTTGTTTTCTTTTTTCTGCTTCCTGAAATTCAACAAATAGATTTGATTATGAAATAATCACACAGCTTCATAATTATGAAGCCATCTATAAGCAGTAAAATTTCTTTTTGTAAAAATACTGGCAATTAGATATTGTACTGACACCAGAAAGACCGTTACTCTTAAAAGCTTAATCAGGACTCTATTTCAGTGCATACTGCAATCAAAACTACTTATATTGCCTAAGCCTCAAGAGAAGAGCCAAGTTCTCTTCAGTAGAACATCTTCAAAAAGGTTTGCCACTAAAATATGTACTACTTCCTTTCTGCAAAATGAGCCCCTTGACTTTTCTCCTTAAATGACAAAGTGGCAAAAATTTCCTACTTTCTCCTCTTGAGTGCAAGAACGAAAGAGTTTGATCCAGCGGCCCTCATGTACAAGTCTTGCCAACCCAGATGTGCTAGGATACTGACCACATCTCCACATACAATATGGGACACATCTGGAGCTGGAAGTTGGGCAAGTTTGTGATACTATGCCAGCATCACAAGCAGCATTACCTAGGGCAACTTAACCAGGACCAAACTATTAGTGACCCATACTCTTCAAAGGAACATAAATTGCTGTCTTTACTAAGAGAGAGAAACAAACCAAACCTAACCAAATTTTCAGCTCTGCAAACTATCTGTGTTGAGGGGATAGCACACATGCAACCAAAACACTAATGTAGGCACTTACATTATATGGATAACCATGATACCACGTTCAGTTTTTATCAAACAGCTTACACCCCCTTCTCTAGCACTGTAATTTTAGTAATTCATTTAACCAAACATCCACAGCAAGCAAGCTACTGAGCTCACTTCACCTAAATCATGTCCTACCAAAATATCCAAGACATCACAGATCAGACTGAAGAACTGCACCAGTTCATTTGGGTGACATCTTCTCATAAAGCTTTTTCTTTGAAATGCAGTACCATGGTGACCACAAAGGCAGATGTTTCTGCAGAATGCCCAAACAGATGATAATTTATCAATTGGTTTTGTTTTTGTTTTCTGGGGTGTAGCTAGCTTCTGTGATGTACAAAAATTAGTAAGAAAGAATACTCTGTGATGTAGAATCTAAAATTGACCAGAAATAAACCAGTAAAATATTTCAAAATAGAAATCTAAAAGGCTTTGGGGAAAAAAACATAACAAGCCAAACCTGCAAAGAAAACATGTCTCCATTCAGAATGCTTAATGTATTTTACTGTAATAATGACCAATACTACTAATTCCTTTTCTTTTTTTAAACAGATAAGCACCAACTCTTAACTTACCTGTAATTCACTTCCTATCTAATAATTGTACTGCTATTTGGCATACTCTTGTAAACAACATCCATGTAAGCTACCAACCAAATACTCAAAGCAAGAACATTCATTTTACTTGGGTAGTTGCTACTTAAGCTTGTATTTTTCCGGATCTCTACCAAATCCCAGCTTTTCTATATGGGCCAAATCTGTGCCTTTAAGCTTATTTCTTTTCCCAAAGTAAGCAACAGCAAATCCAGTGTTGCTAACACACACGAGGGTAAAGTATGTGATAATCATACCAGTATTCTACATAAATGGTTACTGTTATCGTGGCACTTAGCTACTGTTTGTTTTGCCTCAGCATCTTGAATAAGACCAAAAATGCTAACATCTCCCCTCAGGCAACCCGTGTACTGCTCATAAAAAAATCTGTTGCAGTCTTGCTGGGTTTTTGTTGGTTTCTATTCCCTCTAAATTAGCTGGTCACAGCATTCTTTTCTTTATTATGATCTGTATCTAATATTCCAAAAAGAAGCTCTGAACAACCATGTCATTTGCCCAGAATCACAGATCAGCTTGCATAAAACTACTCTAGTTTTCAACACAGCTAAACTGAGGAAATACTACCTTTTATCCAGCTATATATTTGTGTAATATTTATATGGTAGTTACAAAAACTTGTTTGTGAGCAGCAAGTTACACACCTTCTACAATGTTACAATGTGTGCAATTTTATAGTGTAACAAACAGTGTAGTGGGAAGAGAATAAAACTAGTTAAATAAAGATGTCTGAGATTAATAACTCAGTTGAGTTAGTCAGTGACGATAATACTAAGATACATTCTGTAAGAATAACTCCCACTAAATTAGAATGAAAAAATTCCTAAAGATTATGGCTGTGGATAATATGAAGTGTAATTGATTGAGACTAACAGGTAGAAATGGTATTAATCTAGTCTTTGTCTACAATCATGAAAGATCTCTGTTTAAGATTTACCTCTTTCTTTCTAGCACGCTCAGCCTTTATTTTCTCATACTCTTCTTTTGCCTTCTGATTGGACGTTTTCTTCTTAAACTTCCTTTCAGTCACAACTGGCCTATAAGAAAACAGTACAGGTACTTCAGACATGGGCTATCACCAAGCAGACATAACCACATATCCCACAGCCACTGCAGAATCAGAGTATTGTCCTCCACTCTTCTTTGCATATTTGGGGAAGTTAATTAGAAATAGATTTCAGAAGGCTCATCCTTCTACATTGAATGGATACCTATTTGTATCACTCCTATATCATACCATTACATGTGATCGAATGAGCAGCTGGCATGAAAACACAGCCAACTAAACTCCTCCAAAGCTGAGCGTACCAAAGACTGGACTGCATGCAAGTTTTGGAAACACAAATCTCTTACCTGCTGGATCTTCACATGGATGATGCTTCAGAAAGTTTAAAGAGTGCCTAAAATAGGGTTGGTTTTTTTTACCTTTCATACTACCTCTTCAGAGCTACAAAAACTGAATGCACTAGCTTAGAGCTGTATTATCTCTTTCTAGTTTTGACATATGCAGAGGCAGAGCTCTGCTGTTAGCAGACTGCCTGCCACAGGAGTCAGGCTGACACAGCAAGGTGAAAAAGCACAGTAGTAACAATGCATTTCTAAAAGTTTCTTCTTGAAGGAGATGGCATATCATTGTCCTTGATGTTCTGAAATTAGGAACTGAAAGGTGTATTATTGTCCTTAATGTTCTGAAATTAGGAACTGAAATTATGCTCCTTTTAAATTTCAATACAAAAAACTGCCCATGTATCTTTCACCCAAGAAAACAGTACAAGAAAACCAGAACCATTCATCTGGCATTTACTGTCATACTACTTTGAGCGGATTTTCCTGTTATTTAGTACTACTTTTTTTTTACTGATCAACAGTAAAGTTGATCATAAACATAAACAGTGTGGTAGCAAAGATGTTTCACACTTGAAAAATATAAGCCTTGCTAGATATTTAATAACTGTTCACAAAATAAGTTTTTGATTACTCTATTACTCACACTATAAAAGGGTGAAAACTTGCCATTAACCAGCTGTTATCAGCTAGAAAATCTCAGACAGATGACCAAAAAGGAAAGAGTATATTTGCTAATACTTTCATTTAGAAATACCACTCCCTTCTGGAGGGAAAAAAATAAATAATAATAATAATAAAAAAATCTTTGTTTCATTACCATCTCCATCTCGTGGCAATACCGTGTAATGACACCTCATCATCTCAAGTTCAAAACTACTTAAATTGCAATATAAGCTAAAAATAGAATTACCTAACCAAAGCCTTATTTTAAATCTCCACAGAACTCTGAAGTCTAACAGACTCTATGTATCACCACATCTCACAGATTAGCAGTCACATTTTTGCAGAATTATTAATTCTGGTTTACAGTCACAATTACAGTACTTTAAGCAAAATTTAAAAACCTTCTGGTTTAAAGAAGAATCAGTACTTTTTCAGACAGCCCCATGAATTAGCTGTCTATTCCAGCCAAAACCCTACCCTTCTCCCACTGCTGGGCTTAGATCTGACTGCCTTTCCCTGATCTCCTGAGCATTCTTGCCAGGAAAGTTTAGACGTAGATACACCTTGGAATTCAAAGACTTATGACACTCCTTGTACTGGAGACAAAAAGGCATTATAACAATCACTGTACTGGAGCACTGCTTGAAAACACTGCCATGACACTGTTAGAGCCAAGCGACTCCTGTTTTTCATTTTACTGACACACCTAACCAAGATTTCAAGGGAAATAACTTGTTATACAGGGAAGAAGAATGCTTTAAATTGTCTGACATTTGTTAGAACATAAATGAGAAACTCCATTTGACTTCTCCCCGTTATTATAAGTAAATTTAAAATAAAACAAGGAAAACAAAATGCCAGACATCACTGGTAAACTATTATTACATCTCTATTATTTAAAATCATTACTTTGATCAAAAGCACTTTACTAACTTAAGGTTTTACTACATCCTCTCTTTCCATTATCTTAAAAAGTTCATAATTTAAATCCCCCAAAACTAGTCATACTACAAAAGCAAAACTGCATGCAGTATTGCCCATTCTAGCAAAGAAACAGTGCAATATGAAGAAGAAACTTAAACTGGGAACAGAAAGATAATGCAAAAAACGTTCCTGAAAAGTGACATTACTCTGAAACACTGAGAATCAATTCGAAGGAAAGCTCTGTAGACTCAAAAGCACACTACCTGAAAAGCAGGCTCTTATCTTTGTAGATACGGTAAGAACTTGATCACCACTTACTGCTCTTGGGCTGAAACCTATCCTTAAAGTAAAACAGTCACTGTCACATTATTTCTGTGGAATCAAGCCCTAAACATCAGCAATTTTGCTCTCCGATTCTGATGCAAACACAACAAAGCTGTATATTTAAATATTCTAAAAATTAAGAAAAACATTTAAGACCTAATGGCATTTGTTTAGTAAAGTAGATCATCATACTGAAGTCCATGTAAAGTGTAAGGTTTAAAATATTTCTTTAATGATGGAAACAATTACTTAATTTCAGACACATAGTTCAAAAACTTACTCTACTGCATTATTAAGCTTTTCTTCTGATGAAACCGAATCATCTGGAGCCCTGCGCCATTTCTTAAGCATTTCTTCCTCAGCTAGGTAAAGATGTTTCAAGTGCTCTGGATACGTATCGGTAAACTGATCATCCTGTTGTGAATGGACATTTCTTCTCTTTTTCAGTAATCTCCTGTACTGCCTTTGGATCTTTTGTTTTCTCCGAAATGCAAATCCTTGTCCTGAAAACATAAGAAAAAGGGTTAAATACACCTGCACTGAAGTAGTACCAATCTGTTTAATTGTCACCAGCACCTTTTACATCCATTTTCTTTCCAAAACAGGAAAAAACCCCACTACTTGTGCTAATTTTAATAAGGACCAGTCAAAGAATCAAGAAAATAACACTGCAATAAATCTGTTCCCTAATGTAGCATTGTAACTTGTACAGATTTACCAAAAATTATCACTTAAACCCTTGAAAGAACATGCCATTGCAAATGTACTACTTAAAGCACTATCAACATTGTCCACCTTTGTCAATATTTTTCGAATCTAGCGAAAAAATGCATGAACATTTAACTCCTACTTTTGAAAGCTTCATAAGCAACATCAAAACAGATTCCTAAAGACACTCACCACAAGACAATGATAACAGTAATACTGGTTGCTTAAGTAGTCTGCAGGTGCAATGCCACATGGAAAAAAAAGTCACTAAATTACTGTGTTGTACTGTATTAATATTCCATTATATCTTTTCACACAAAGAGTACTTTTACTGCTGCCACCTTCTTTCTAAACCTGTCCAGGAAGAGCTCTTCTACGAGTTCAAAAGTACAGGACATCATGGAATGATTTAGCCTTAAAGGAAACATGAGAAAATGACTGTTTCAGTCTCAATCAGTACATAACCGCTTATTAATTTTAAGTATGCTTTCTTCCTAGTATGTTAATATGTTTTTTTAATTGCATTAGTCTTAAGAACTACTGACTTTTATAATATTAATTTGAAAAGTATTTTGTAAAACTGGCAAGTCCAAATTAGTCCCTACTTTTCCTCTGATTCTTTCCCT